TGGTGCTGAACTGCAAAAACAAATTAAACACACTAGGTATGCAGAATAAAGTCAGCCTCTGCTGGGTCCCAGGACACATGGGAGTAGAAGGCAATGAGAAAGCGGATACCCTTGCAAGGAAAGGGGCTGCCACACCGGTGATAGGACCCGAACCCTTCTGGGGCATAGGAATCCGCACTATTAACGAATATCTCAGACAGAAGGACAAAATGAAAATGAAGGAACAATGGAATTCACTCATTGGACTAGACAATCCAAGAATCTTCTAACCAATTTTGGCAAGAAAGAAATCACAGAATGTGTCAAAGGAAGCAGGAACAGACTGCGAATCCTAACAGCATTCCTAACAGGACACTGTAGATTAAATGGACACCTAAAGAAAATTGGAACAATCCAAGATGGCACATGTAGATTCTGCAAGGAAGCAGAAGAGACACCAACACACTTACTAACAAACTGCGGAGCTACATTAGCCCGCAGGAGGAAATGTTTTGGGATGTACAATGTGACCATAGAAGAGCTTCAACCATTAAAACCGCGCCTATTAATCAAGTTTCTTGATGAAATAGGACTCACCGATGTGCTTTAGGCAGAGAACGGGGGATACAATAGCTCTCAAAGGGCGCAGTATACCATACCCTGAAATATTACATCTACATCTACATCTACATCTAGATAGTTTATGTCCTCCTGGACCCATCTCTCTCGTCTCCCATATGAACGTAAACACCCGGGTCGGAACACGACTATGATGGCGCAATTCACAATAAATGAGTTGGAAGCAGCGTTAAAAAACAGGAAAAATACAGCTCCAGGATTCGATCTAATTCAATATTCCATGATTTATAGATTAGACAAATCTGCCAAGATAGTCTTTCTAGGCATATTCAATGAATCGTGGTTAAAGAAAGCCGTACCTAATGCGTGGAAAGACACAATGGTCATTTTGATTAAAAAACAGGGTAAGCCTCAAGACAATTATAAATCCTAAAAAATTTCTTTGTTGTCGTGTATGTTAAAGTCCTACGAAAGAATGATCAAAGCTCGTCTTGAATGGTGTTTGGAAAAAAATTTTCTGCTCCCAGAGACGCAGTTTGGTTTCAGAAGGAACAGGTCGGTTTCAGACGCGCAATTATACTTTATTAGTGACGTTTACATGAGCTTGTCAGTGAATGAAAGCGTCCTAGCTTTCTTCTTGGACGTAGGCGGAGCATATGATAACGTGGATTTGTTCGAGATAGGCAGAAGGCTTAAAGAGATAGTCCTCCCAGAAGACTTTGTACAAAATATAATGGCCGTGATTTCGGACAGATCAATCACCATAAACATGAATGTGGCACTGAAAGGTTCATTCAAATCCTTCAAAGGTCTCCCACAGGGAGGTATCCTCAGCTCCCTTTTGTACGGAGTATACGTTGCGGACTTACCAGGTATTGTTCCACCCAGCATCCGGATAGTTCAGTATGCAGACGACATTTGTCTATATTCAAGAGGGGAAAACATTCTGGAATGCAAAGATAAGTTAGCCGAGTTCATTCCCGAATTTAAGAAATGGCTAGATATAAAAGGCCTGGACATCTCACAGGAAAAATCGTACGTATGTCCACTCACGCGAAAGCATGGGCTTCTGACACAGTTCAAATAGACGGATATAGTTTTCCAGTTAAGTCGTAAGCTAAGTTCCTTGGTCTTAACTTTGACTCAAATTAAACTGGTCAGGCCAAATTCATTCAATTCTGGCAAAGGGAGAAAAGCTGTTCAATATACTCCGTTGTTTCACAAGCTCACAATAGGGGCAGATCTTTTCACAGGTCTTCTATTTTTTAGATCGTCTATCAGATCAATGATAGATTTTGGAGCAGTGTTTTTCGGGCAAGCAGCAGACACCCACATAAATAAGATCCAAATTTTCATTAATAAATGTTTGAGACGAATATTGGGTTGTCTTCAAAGCTTTTCTCGCATATCACTATACGCCGACGCGGCCGAGCCTCCCCTAAAGATTCGTATTAAGAATCTCGCCATTAATAGGATAATTACTTTACATAGAACAGAAAGCGTAATTCTTCCAAAGATACTGGCCTCACTGGCCGAGTTAGTTCTAACCACTAACTACTGGCTCCACAAAAAAGCCCTACCAATTGTCTCAGCATTTGTAGACACCGTACCTGAAATATTTTCTATTCACAAAAGTAAAATTGACCGGGTTTACACATCCCAAATCCCATCAGCATTTGTCTCCCCCACTTGTTTATATCTAGATGACTACTCCAGGGTTATTGTTTTCTACAGTCTGAATGTCACGATTAAATTGGTCAATTAATTTTTTGCTAATGGCCATTTGATTTTCAACATTATGCTGTAAACGAAAAGAATTGCTTTGGATGGCGTTTATCTTTATCGTCGGAGTACATATCTGCATTATGTTTGCTTGCCGTAGTTGAATAGCAACAATCCCAGGTCCATTCGTCAAGACATTTCTACTGATCGCCCGTGTCGCTAGAGTGAGGAGAAGCAGTGCGAGTAACATCCTCATCTGAACAGATACAAGGTTTTCGGAAAATATCCGAGGTCTCTTTAAGAGAATGGGGTGTATTTTACATTGTTTTGTAGTTTTGTATCGTGAGAATAGTCTATATCTTCCTTTACTTCACTCGAGTCTGAGCGTATTGAGATTTCGGGGCATCTGGCCATTACATGTCTGGATTTGACATCGCAAGCTCCCTCGTTTTTTATATTATTATTATTATTTATATATTTTTTATTTAACTTATAAATTGATTTATTATTCAATTCGGGTTGCTCGAATGTAAGTTTCACTGGTATAATTAATAAATATAATATTATTATAATAATATTAATAATTATAAATAAGATCTGGCATAGTTCTATACCCAAGCAAAACGTCATATTTGTCCGAAAGAGGAAAGAGGTAAAATTTTGCTTTTACATCTGTTTGAAAGATTTCGTACAAATTTAGATTGCGAGATATTTCAACGTTCTTTTTGTCAGGGAGGGTTGAAATTATGCAGGGGTCATTTGATAAAATTGTATCTTTGGGTATTGCTGTAGGTATAATATAGTTTTCAGAAGATCCCCTATTAACCATTTCAGTCCGTGTTCGTCAGTGAAATTTGGTAATAATTGGTTCACAGAATTTAATTAATATTCGGGGAGGGGCTTCCTTTCGATTCTTTTCCTAGTCCTAAAAAATGATCGAATTTTTCTGTTAGTACTTCGATGGTGTTTTCTTATGTAGTCAGTCTATCTTTAACAGCATGATTCGGTTTTGTTTCCTCACAATGAGTCACTTCGTAGGGAGATAATAATCAGACATTCGCGATATACCTATGGAACGCATAGAAACTGTGTTTTGCCTATCATGTTTATGCGCTGATCGGTTTTTATTAAATGGATGATTTGGGTCGTTGGGATCACTCGGTTTTCTATAGTATTGTCTGTTATTTTATTGGCAGTTAGGTTGATCTTCAAATGTTAATTTCGAATGATTTTTTTTTTTGCCTTGAACTAGTGTACATCTAGCCATCTACAGCCCGAGACCGGCCTGGGCTCTCCATTTGTAACGGGTAGATTCTCAACATAACAGACTGCTCCCGATGGTGGTGGATAAAAACCTTACATGGTAAAGCTACCCTTGGAAAAGTCCAACACCATCACCCAGTCCGGAGCATAACGCGCCCTGAGAGCGCAGAGATGTCCCCCCAACGGTCCCCAGCCGAATCGTCCCCCCCCCCGGACGCCAACATGCCTCAAGGATCGTTATATATCTTAAATATCTATGTCGTTATCGGTGATGGATTTGTATATGGTATCTAGTACTTCAATAAAGTTTGTATAGTTTAGAATTAAGATTACTGAGGTGGGGAGCGGGATTTTATATTTCTTGAGCGCTTTATAAATATGTTCTCTTCCGGTAGTCTTCAGTGGGCATCCCAGTATGATATGGTTTGCGTCCGCCGTTGCGGTATCGTCGCACGAGCATTTGCTTGTTTGTGTAATTCCTATCTTATGCAGGTGTGATGGGAGTCTATTGTGGTTGAACCTCAGTCTACATATAGGGCTAAAGAATTTTCTATTTCTTTTGACGTTTGAAAACCACGGTTTAGGCTGGATGTTTGGTTGGGAGGCAGAGTACCAGATGCCTTTGCTTTTGGATGATTGTACGTACTCGCTTTGCCATTTCTTGCGTAATAAGACTCTATTATGCGATACAATGTCCCAGGCTGAGATCTCTTTGATGTCGTTTCCCGATAGAGCAGCCGCCTTTGCCAATGCATCAACCCGCTGGTTAAACGTTAAATGTTAATGTTAAAGTGATGTTGTTGTCGTTTATGATATTGGAATTTGTTAAATGATGTCTGTTGGACGTGAGACTATTGTTTATTGTAGTTGATGTTTGATAATACAAAAGAACATTTGTTTTATATTATGCTTCTAACTTCATATATTGTTTCTGGATTACATATCATAATGTGGTTACTTAATGGGGAAGGTAAATATTTAAAAATGTGAAATATAATTTCTTTATCTATCCTAGTCATTAATTGTTTCAAGACGTTTGTATTTAGTCCGTCTGGTGTTGGTCCAATGTAAACTAAATTTCGTAATTCTGGAATTATGTTAACAAATTCTATCGGGGATTCTTTTGGATCGAGTCTAGTTTGCATTATCTCTTCTTTAAGAATTTCATATGACCTTGAATCAGCGAAATTTTGTTTCAAATGTTTAATTAAAGTAAGTAAATGATTTATATCATGCGAAATGCTATAAATGCTTTTTGTTTTTTATGAATAAAACATTCTGGTTGTAATATCTTTCGATAATAGTTTCTGTACACAATACGGTTGTATGCAGTTTCAAAATTTTACAAAAGAAGGCTAGTTCCGAAGGGTTTCTATCAAAGAAATGAATGTGATCATAGTCTTGATTTGTTATTTTATAATGAATTTTTTGAGACTTGTTAGAAGGAAGGATTAATTTGGAAGGCTTAAGCGAAAGATGGCTACTTACTCCTACGGTAGTGTTCTTCTTCACCAGATTGCTGGTTCTTCTATCTTTTGTCTTGAGCGATTTTCAGGACGTTTCCTCCGGGATGAGACGAATGATCGCAGCAGGAAATTCTTCGGACTCGTTTTAACGAGTTTTCTTCGAACTGCGATCAAAGCTCTGATGTGCACGCTGAAAGTTCCGAGTCAAATGGACGCAACTGCGGGACAAATGGACCCGACTTCAAAACTTAAGCTACTCCCTATTCCGGGAGCCATTAATCGCTCGAAGAGGACTCAAAAAAAGAAGAGACTTTATTGTCAAAACTGTACAATGTTTAAGTCCAACAGAGTGACGGGGACACTATCGCATAGATATTTGCAGATGAGAGGTTTTACACTATTTTAAAGAAATGCTGATTAAGATGTGGGCAGGCGTCTGGACGCCACGTGTCGGTCTGAGGGACAACTGGTTACTCCATAACTTCGAGTTCCGTTGTGACCATTCTGACCGGGATCGTTCTTTTTGACCTGAGGACAACCGCGTGTTTTGTTGAGCCTTCGCCCTTCCCAGAAGATCCGCCTGAACTGTTGTGAACAGCGTGATTGTGAAGTGACATTTGTGAGTACAATCAGTGTAAATATATTCAACAATGTGGAAAAGCACATTTTTAACCGAAGCGAATCACTTAACGGTTAACATGAAAATCATTAACATATGTTTTTTTGTTATATAACTAGTAAGCAACCGTGGTCGAGATTGAAACCGATAAATGTTTCGTTAAAGCATTTGCTCATTAAAACGCTTTAACTCCGAAGATTAGACAAAATTAATAAACATAACAAACCAAGAAGAAATGTCAACAGAGTTAAAGAACACTGAAAGAGAGATGCACGCCCATTATGTTGTTACAAAATAATGCGAGAAGCTGAAACCGATAATAAACAAGCAAAATGGACGGGCTAATCTCAGAATTAAACTATTAATGATAAAGTAGAGAGTACTAACGACAAGTTCTCATTTACCCTGAAAAGGAGGAATTTTTGTTGAATCATTCACTTCATCCCATTTCGTTCAATTAATTGCTTGAGTAAACTTTGCACAAACTTTTGTTTCAACTAGTTCTTTCTTTATTTTGTTAAAACATGAGACAAAATATTGAAACAGTTGAACTGTAAATTTCAGCCGGGTTTTATTTACATGATACATCAAGACGTGTTCTTTTTTTAACTAAGAGAAGTGTGCGACATGGGACAGAGCAGTGCGGTGCTGGAAATATTGACACGCTCCAGTCCTCCCTCTTTGTTTAAAATGCGGGATAAAAACTTGGCCGATCGTTAAAGCTACACGCGATATTCGTTGAAACAAGGAAAGTTCTAAAAAGAATCTCTTAACGATCAGAAGGGGTGGCTTCGATCACGATTCCCGCCTTTAAATTACATCCCGCAACCCCCACACATCGGCTGCCCAAATCTATTTTCCTCACGCAGAAATTTCACCCCCTGAACTCGTACAATTAAAAGATAAAATTGCCATTCGATTTTCAAGACGGCAATTTAACTTTCCCTCTTTTTTATCTAGTTTTGGAATGTTTCACCTTCTACAGAGAATAAAAGGCAGCTCACTGAAGCAAACGGACTTGTGAAGTAACAAGTAAAATTTTTACTGAATTTACCCTTAAAGTCCTGTTTGGCAGATCATCGTCGGAGTTGCATTGGCTGAATGAACGTTGCATGAACCTGTATTCGGTCGTTTCCGACAACCTGGAATATCTATTGTCGCTAATTTACTATGTCAGACGCGTTTCTGCGTATGGCCGTCTTCAGTGGTAGGTTTGTCTGATTTTTTCTTTAGTCGGCAGGTAGAATGATTAAAATCCTGGTTTGCAATTTTTAGTAATTCTGCATTGTTGTTCACTGATTGACTGATTGATTGACCTTAGGCCATAAGGAGAGAGGGACAAAGCGATGACTCCACCCAACTATTCCTAAAAAGGTTGAAGCTAAATGGACAATTTTACAGATTAATACCTAAATGATAAACATTTTATTGATTATTACTACATATATTATTTGGTCCGTTAGTTTTCGGGACCGACACCTTTCCTTTTAAATAAATTTTAAAGTCCTCTCTGGAGAAGAATAACAGTGGACTGAAATGACAAGTCCCTCCAATGGAGAGGAAAACCTTTGCTCGGACAGTGTCCTGCCAAAATAGATAGGTATAAAAGAGTGTGCTGAAAAGAAAGAGGAAGATTATAAGTTTGTAGCTTATAAAATCGGTTCGGCTAGAGATTCAAAAGAATTTTGGATGTTGGTTAGCATTTCAAAGGTAAAAACCTGTCCTCTAATAACAGTATTTCAGTCAACTAATGTTCCAACCCCCAACGTATCCAATCCCTACAATCTAAAATCCTTCGAATCATTGTCAATGCTCCTTTCTACGTATCCAATCTTAACATTCACAATGACCTTAATATCCAACATGTCCTTGAAGTAGCAAAAAACTGCTACAAGAAGTTTCAGAAACAATTATCAAGTCACTGGCCTTGCGACCTCCTGAGTAACAATGAAAGTGATTAATGATAATTCCTTAAATTCACTAATTTCGTGGTCCGCTTGACCAATCAAATCATTACAATTAATTAAGGTTTTTAGTTGAGATGAAAAAAAGTTAATGGCACGAGCGGGATTCGAACCCACGATCTTCGGCTAGATACGCCGCTGCTCTACCACTTGAGCTATCGTGACCTCGATCCACTCGGACACCAACTTCTCATCTCAACCCCACCTTTTGAAAAATGGCAAAAAGAAGGGAAAATTCAAAAGGTGGGGTTGAGATGAGAAGTTGGTGTCCGAGTGGATCGAGGTCACGATAGCTCATGTGGTAGAGCAGCGGCATATCTAGCCGAAGATCGTGGGTTCGAATCCCGCTCGTGCCATTAACTTTTTTTCATCTCAACTAAAAACCTTAATTAATTGTAATGATTTAATTGGTCAAGCGGACCACGAAATTAGTGAATTTAAAGAATTAATATGAAGTACACTTCACTAAAGCTCTCCGTGGCCATTTCAATTGTCGTCGAGAATCCAAACCGATTACACGACATTTGAAAAATGGCAAAAAGGAGGGAAAACTCATAAGGTGGGGTTGAGATAGGAAGTTGATGTCCGAGTGGATCGAGGTCACGATAGCTCAAGTGGTAGAGCAGCGGCGTTTCTAGCCGAAGATCGTGGGTTCGAATCCCGCTTGTGACACTGACTTTTTTATCTCAACTAAAAACCTTAATTAATTTTATTAATGATAATATGTAGTAGTGACCACTACTGAGTAGTTCCTCTTTTCTGTTATTTATGTTATATCTTTTATATTTTGTTGTACTCATTTTGTTTTGTCCTCTGAGGTATTATCCAATTTGCTTAAGCGCAGCAATTGGCGGAAGTATAAATAAATAACAAAAAACAACAGAATCTCATTGTCAGTTAAATCTGGCCGAATGATGCCTGAGTTTGATTTTTCCCCCCAGCGTAAGTTTAACTATATGATCTGAGAATTGTGTTTAGGCATGTTTTATGTCACAGTAGCTACATCTTTATTATTGTGAGTAGAATGTGCTTCACACAGAGATAGCTACCACGCATGAGAAGAAAAACGGTTGACAAAAAACAAACAAAACAAAAGTGAATAGGCAAACCCAAGAGCGATTAGCAACAGGCAAACTGATGACGTACATAGCTAGTGGGGGTTCATTTTCACTCCACATCGCTTATCCAAAACAATCCTGTCTCCCTTGTTAACATTATGCTTATGCCTAATTAATTAGTTTAAAGTTAATACTGTTCATCTTGCGTCGAATGTGACCATTATACAATTTACAATAAAGTTTGGTTAAAATAATGTTATTTAATCCCTCTGAAACTGAACATGCAGTAGAGTATATGAGAATGGTAAATATCATGAATAATGTTAAGTCTGTGGTGTTCTCAGTTGTTTCATTCGGCCATTTTCTGAAGTCAGAATGTGAAATCTGGCGTGACTTAGACTTTAACGTAATGGAAGGCGGTCTTCACGAAACAACCTCCGTTGCAGTCTCGTAAATAGCAATTTTCAATTTATTGTATACCGATCAGCAGGAGAGACGGTCTTCCCAAACCTGACCTTGCGGAAAAGCAATTTTCTCGAGATTATATCCGCCCTTTCCCTATTTCCATTTAACGGTTCGCGTGATCCGTTATTGCACTCGGCGGGACGCGGTACTACTCGTCTGCCAGTTTTACATTTAAAAGGGAATTAATTGTTCTGCGAGGAAAAGAACCGAGAAAATGATCTGATCTTATGATCTGTTCCATAATTTCTTCACACATAATAGTTTGCCGCGACAATTCAGAAAAAAATCTGCTACCAATTGTAGCATAAAAGGCACAGTCCCTTTAATATTTAAAAACGACTGCTTTGTAACACCACTTTGGTAATATGGCGCAATTTTGTATGACTAATCAAATAGTGTCGTGAAATTATTATTTAATTTATAACTAGAGTACGTGCTTAATGCTACTGGTGGTGGTCTGCGTGCGTTCGTGCGTGTGTACGTTTTTTTAATGTCTTTGCGCTATAAAAATATTATAATACGCAATCATGGTTATGTTTTAATATGTAGTATTGACTATATACTAAAAAAAAGTCAACTTGTCATTGATATATTTTTTACTCTTCTTTTCCAGTTGTTGACATTTTATATTTCTTGCGTTTCTTTTCAGGAACTAGCCAACCATCAACCATATTTTCTTTTCATTGATATCGATTTCGGGGGCATCAGCCTCCCCTCATCAGTTTCATTTTCTTTTTGGAAACACAAGAAAACGAGACTGATGAGGGGAGGCGATGTCCTCCGAAATCGCTACCGATAAAAAGAAAATGAGGTTGATGGTTGTCTACTTATCGAAAAGAAACCCAAGAAATATCGTCATTTATTTTTTAAATTTTAATACTTAATTTTTTAAACTTAACTTTTGACTACTGTCCTTTGGGAGCGGGCGTGCTACAGGGCAGTGTGCTAGGATCACTCCTGTACCTCCTTTACACCTCAGTCATCCCAACTTCAGCCTCTACCCTCCTTGCATCCTTTGCAGACTACACAACCGTGCTTTCCTCTGATCTCGATCCTGCAGTCGCCTCAGAGGAGCTCCAGGCACATGTCCAACGAATAGCCTTATGGAGCAAACTTTGGAGGATAAAAATTAATGTAAACAAATGCACTCATGTCACGTTTACCCTCAGAAGCAAAACTCCTCACACAATATTCCTCAACAACATTCCTATCCATAAAACCGACTGTGTACTCTACCTTGGATTCTATCTTGGACGCTTGACATAGAACAGATATGAATAAAAAGACAGACTGAACTGATGCTTCAGACTTCCCTATAAACTACTTCATTGATATCTAACATATTGTCAAAAAACAAACTGACACTACAAAACATTGCTGAAACCAATTTAGACATATGTTCTAGAACTGTTGGGCACTGTTAAACCTATCAATATCCAACAAATTCAGTCTGTCCAACGCAAAGTTCCCAGAATCATGGTCAACACTCCCTACTAAGTTTTCAATACCACCCTCCACAACAACCTTAAAATACGCTTTGTAAATAAAATTTTACACATTCCATGAAAAACTATCCTCACATCCCTGTCCAACAGTACCCATCACTACAACCCAGTAAGGCAATTGAAGCGGAGTCGGCCCCGGGACCTCCTTATGAATAGTTCAAAAATAACTATTCAGAAAGCAGGGCGAGCAACAATGGTTGCCTCAGGATATATGCAAATGAAAAATATTGTATCTCATTACATAATGCATATGTTTGTACAAATAGTAAAACAAAACAATATTTAAAACAGCAGACCTTGCATGTTTCATAAATCAACTCATAAATATTTTCCATTTCACTTAACTTAACAAACTTAACTTTTGTCAGTTATCAATTTTGCTTTATTTGGTTTTGTACATTTTATAATGCTGTTAGTCATTGGAACAGTTTACTCTTTATGGTGAGTGATGTTGACTAATACAAAATTTACAACCATAACCAACCAGAAAGACATGCAAACGCAGTGTTTTGAATCAAATAATACTACAATAAATCTTTACATTGAGGATTCCAATTGTTTCCTATTAATTAACACATTTACACTTCTGCAAATTAACAGATATATAAATTTTAGTCCATAATATTTGAAATGATATATAAATATACATTATAAGTTTAAACAGACACATTTCTTCATAATAAACATAATTTAATTTTAAAAAAATGTTTGTTTAATTAATTGGTTCAACTTTAAATAATCTTAAAAATATTACATTTGAGTTCAAAAGTCGTGGAAAAGTTTGTTTGTAGAATGCAATGTAATGCATTTGATGAAATTGTTGTTTAAAGTTTGAGAGAAACAGACAACAGACAGACATCCACTGAAGATGAAAAAATGCCCAAACAGGGTGTGACAGAAACATTCCAAGAATAATGGGAAATCAAACAGTAGACAAACCAACAAAATATTATGCAAATATTGTTAAAATACAAACATTCTATATTTATGTTCTACATAAATTATGTCCTGTAGTTTGATTGTCCAGCACATTTGGTAGACCAAAATGATTGAAGATGATCCTGTAAGTTATAAAAAAGCTCACACTAATTGTTTTTTTAAACATTTTGTTCAATATAGGTATACCATATGCCCATCCTCCTCTAGTTGATCTAAGGTTTGCACCACCCAAGACAGATCCATGGCCATCATGGACTGGTGTGAGAAATGCCACAGAATACATGCCTTCCTGCCTCCAAGACAAAAAAAGTTTTGAAAACAACGATGTCCTCAAGCTAGCAACAAGGCTTTTTCCAGGCAAAGCACTGGAATTCAATGAAGACTGCCTCTATCTTAATGTCTATGTTCCAGATGGTAATGTATTTTCATTATTTCATTAATAACATACAAGCATTTTTTTTTGTTATACATACAACTAAAATAAATTTAATTAATATGCATGTTCTCCAACGAAACCTGATATTCGTATTCAATGCTAATGTCATATTGTAAATAAATTATATGCATATTAACTATTATGTACTTTACCGTGATATTATTTGTAGGTAAGACGCCTCGTGGGTTTGGATGGCCAGTTGCTATTTGGCTTCACCCTGGAGATTTCATGGTTGGCTCGCCTAATCTTTGGGATGCAACAGCACTTGCCATAAAGCAAAAGGTATCTAGTCATTCTAGGACCACCTATGTGAAATCTAGTTGTTAAGGTGTCAAAAATTGTTGGGGTCTCAATGGTGTAACAGGTTTTAATGCAGTTAATTTCTTTCCAGTAGGTCATGGGATTTCAAAGATTTCTTTCTAGTATTCCCATACAAAAGGCAAAATCTTAAAAAGCACTTCTTGTTGGTTTTGTCTGTAATGTACACACGTACTGCTGAGATGGTGAAATATTGAAACATTACGGGGGGAGGGAATCGGTGAAAATAGGCAGACTAGTAGAGATGTGATCAGAGATGATCACACTACAGATTGATCTGCTCATAGGCTGCACTGCAATTTATAAATCTAGCCATAGTTAGATCAAACTAAGTATAGGGTTAATTTTTTTATTTCAAAATGTAGATAGATAGACGGTTTTACTTGGACATAACACAAATCGTCAGGCTTAGACTAGGTGCTTGTTCAATCTCATAATTAATAACCTTCGAACACCTTTAACAAATTGTCTATACAATCATACTTAAAGATGTTATACTTTAAAATATAACAACACAATAAAACACTAAACATTAAAAGTATATTAAAAAGCAAACAATTATATGTAAATTAATTAAGGTTTTTAGTTGAGATAAAAAAATCAATGGCACGAGCGGGATTCGAACCCACGATCTTCGGCTTGATACGCCGCTGCTCTACCACTTGAGCTTTCGTGACCTCGATCCACTCGGACACCAACTTCCCATCTCAACCTCACTTTTTTTGAATTTTCCCTCCTTTTTGCCATTTTTCAATTTCCGCTTGTGCCATTGACTTTTTATCTCAACTAAAAACCTTAATTAATTATAATATATTAATTGGTGAAGCGGACCACGAAATTAGTGAATTATATGTAAATTTTCATTCAGTGTTTTAAATAAAGATATTTTTTTAATGTACAAGATAACTTCTCTGTTTTTAAAATAAAAAAGTGTGAAAACTGGAAATTTAAATGGTCAAAGCTCAATTTATTTCAAAAACAATCTTCTTACATACAAAATAAACTTGCCTCTATTTTATGTTCACAATTTCAAGGTGTTTTTATAATTTTATTTGTTCATAGGTGATTGTTGTCACACCAGCTTATAGGCTTGGTGCTCTTGGTTTTCTCTCAATGATGGATGATTCTGCTCCAGGAAATGTCGGCCTTCTCGACCAGCTCGCTGCGATGGAATGGGTGCAAGAGCACATACAGCATTTCAACGGTTCTGCCACTGATGTAGTACTTTGGGGCCATAGCGCCGGTAGCATAAGCACTTCTCTTCACCTCATATCCGAACTATCCGCTGGAAAATTTCACAGGGCGATAACAATGAGCGGCAACTTTATGATTCATAATGCGATAAAGAATCCCAATCCCAATGCGATTCTTTCCCTAAAGGAAGAGTTCTATTGCTCAGAGGAGCCTGCTGAATTACTGGCATGTTTGAGAAATGCACCAGTGGCCACTCTTTTTGCTAAGACATTAGCATTTGATGATTGGGGCCCGATTGTGGATGGCTTATTTAAAAACGTGACAAAACCTTTTTTAAAGGAAGATCCGAAACAGTTACTCGAAGACGGCCGCATCAATAGAGTGCCCCTTATGGCCGGTTACACAGACATGGAAGATGTGAATTCAATAAATGCAGATATATCAAAATCTCTGTTTGATGACACAATTAGACAAACTGTCATAGACGATGCTCTACCTGTAACTGATAACGAAACATGCACGCTCAATGAAGAATTACTAGTAGATTCAATTTTATTTTATTATACACCTACCTCGATCCCCGAAGACCCAACAATTTACAGAAGGAAATACATAGATTTTACGACAGATAAAAAATATGGCTCAAGCACATTTGAATTTGGAATGTTTGTAAGTAAATACAGTCCGACATATTTATACAGGTTTGATTATAAGCTAAAAACATCTCCAATAGCCGATGTAAGAGACTGGGTTACAGTTCCGCATCAGTATGATTTGCCTATTGTTTGGGGTATGCCCTACTGGACATCTCTTTCCCCTCAAGTCATTTGGAACACTGTCGACAAAAAGACATCAGACATTGTTATGGGTCTCTTTGGCAACTTTACCAAATATTCTATTCCTGTTCAAAGTAAAAAAACAATTCAATGGGATCCTTTCACTAAAGAAAATCCTCGCATTTTTTTAATTGATAAGAATTTTAGCATGAGTGATTCCTCCAGTTTCGATTATAAATCTCTCAAATTTTGGAATGAGTATTATCCTAAAATAGTTCTAGCAGCTAATAACTGCTGTAACATGACCGCATCTGCAAATTGTTTAGAGCCATTTCCATTAACAGTGATATCATTTTTCATTTTCAATTTTTATTTATACAGGATTGATTATAGAAATATATTTATTGTATTACATCTGTTTTAGATGGCAATTAAATTTTGTTTGTAAAATGGTTACTGTGCGTATTGTATATATCTGAAAACTAGAAATTACAAAAAAGTCCCTGTTTATACTTAAGGAATAAATATTAAGGCAAAGTTACATAAAATATAAAATAACTATTTTCGTTACTACAAATGTAAAAAAAAGTTGTATATAGGAGCAAAAATGTTTTTAACTGCCGCTAGCATTAATTTTTGTACAGTTAAAGTTAATGCAGAACCCACGGGAGGAATTGCCAAAGAACATCTTCAAAGAGGGTCTTCAAAATAAAGTGATAAATTTTATGTTTTATAACTGTATTAAAATAAAGACAAATGTCCTCAATTCTCACTTTTACTATTATTGTATTAAAATTTCATTTCTGATATATTTTCTTAGTACAAACTATCCTATACAATACACACTCACGACAAGAAAAAATTTGTTTTTAATAATGTTTGAAAAAATGTCAATTTGGAGAAAAAATAGTAACATAACTTTAATTGGTTTAAAATAAATACAAATTTAAATAAGCAAACATGCTTTTTTACACTTGTCATTAGACCCATTGAATAAATTTTTTACACAATTTAAAACTTTTGACAGCTAAGTAAAAACAAAGTCACAAGCATTAAAGAATGGTAAATACACTGTACACTTTCATTTTTTGATTAATTAAATAACAAAATATAGAATTTGTTTAGAGATTAATACTATATTTTGTAAACATTCTCGTTTCTACCCTATTAAACTATTTGTACTTATTTCCTATTTAAACACGAACATTTCAGGGATTTCAGATTTAGGTGAATCATAACTGTCAACTTATTTACGCTGTACATTTTTTTCTTTCTTGTCGTGGAAGTGTCGGGTTTCAGGATAATCTGTACCTATATTAAATGAATGAAATACATTGGAATTAAATACTTCTAATATATTTTCAATTGGTCTATTGCATTATAGAGCGATAAATTTACATAGTATAATAATAATTCTATTGATCAAAATGAACTTTGTATTTTATCATATAATAAATAAACTTATTTGTTTTACTGTACTGTCTTATTTCATCTTATATAATTTCATTAAACTTAAAATAATAATAATTAAATTAATATTACATACAAACAATCCCACAGTGAAATGATTGAAATGGGCTAAAATTTTATCAATAATTTCATCTTCGTCTCATGATCAGCAAAAAAAAAAAAATAGTGAAAATGGTTTTAAAAAAATCCAAAACAGATGTATGTAATTTTTTTTCCTATTATAAAGTTACTATGATGAAAGTATAAACGTAATATCAATGTTTAAATTGTATTTATTACTTATGACTGTTTTTTGTTAATTACAGTAATTTGGGAATATGTGTATCAAATTCAACTTGAAAAATTGATAAAAAGTTACTTTACATTTTTTCCCAATATTTTGGTCAGATGCATTGTTCAATTTCACCACCTCATTGCCTTTATGCTTCTCTTAACTTTAACCTTTATTGCTCTAATCTTTTATTACTCATTTGTAAGTGCTAAACTGTTAACACTTGATCACTCTGCAGGATCTGTCTACTCTCTTACGGGTTTAGGCATCATTCAAATAAGTTTCATCTTATGCCATCATCAGTGATTAACTAGGATCAAATGAATGTTCACAATTAAATTGTGAAAACAGTAAATTAAGTATGGCTATAAGATGGCTCCAAGAGTGCCGAAACATTGGGAAATATAATGTAGTCAGAAAACTAAAACTGTCTTCTTTCTTCCCTGGCTTACTCTATGATGAAAAAGTAACACAGATGATAAAATACCAATGAAAACAAAAACAACCATCTTTGTTTATATTCTGAATATTTTTTTATGTTTTGGGTTTTTTTGAATGTGATAATTAAACTTGGAATAGGGAAAGGTACAGAAGTAGGATAATTTTTGTTTTTGGTTTAAATGTTTACATACATCTTAATGAAATGTTATGATTCACATTATGATTGTTTTAAGTTAGTTAATTTATCTTTCTTTCTAAAATCAAAATCCATCAAGTTATATTTTTCATGTGGTGTATGGAAAGGGCAAACATTAGAAAATTAATTAGCGCAAAAACTGTGCGACAGAAGTGAAAAATGCCAATTGACAAATTAATGCTACAAAGACCTGATTGCAACTCATTTGACTATTTTTACAACAAAGTTCAATCAAGAAAAGCTAATAGCTACTATGTAATGTGAGTTTCTCCAGTATTTTCCAGAAGGTTGAACTTTGAGGCTATCCAGTGAAGATGGCAAAATTTTGTAATGTATCTGCTTAAGCATGTTGGAAAAGTGAAACCAGGATGATCAAAAAGTCTCGTAGAGTTAAAGTCCTAATGTCCGAATAAGGGCCAGCAAAGGTAAAGTTTGCTTGTTTTTCGAGCAGTCATTTTAACATGGTGAACCATATGTGCATTTAAGTCATGAAGCTGGGTTCCACATCACTTGTTTGTCCAGGTATCGTACACAGTTCACAACAGGGATGGGAACATTGTCAAAGTATATCAGTGGGAGTGAAATCACGTATGTCGATTTAGTTTCTTTGACCTTCATTCTCCACTGGACCGGATTCAAGGAATATGCAGGTGATTTTGGCGATTATGGAGCTCTAAGGATTGCTGTTCATTAGCTAGGGTAAGGGAGTAAAGAACAAGGATTCTGCTCTGTGGGACACCCATTTTGCTTGCTTATTGAATAGCATGCTTGCTTCCAAATGACCCATAAAATTTCATTATCTTCTATACATCCTTTTCTAACAGATACCCCAAAGAGTAGCATCCTCGCTTTTCTTCTTACACTACCTAGTTTTGGATACATCACAGATATAAATAAGCATTTTTGTTGTTGTTAGGTATAATGAATACTGCAAAACTATATTGATTTTTAATTACCTTGTATCATTTTTTAAGGGCATGTAAGGTAGCTGGAAAATAAAATTGAATGCTTGAAGTGCATAATTGCTATTACCAACTAAGCAGAAAATTTATTGAATAGCATAACATCAATTAAAAACCTCGCAGGCATTATTCAACCATCTTACAATTTGCTCTTAATATGTAAAGTAGTAGAACAAATGTTCAAATAGTCATCTATGACAGGTATAATGAATATTAATCCTTTTTTATTAAAATTAAGAGCGCAGTCGTATAGCATGAACTTTTAATCAAGACGATTTGCAAAAATAATCAAGACAATCAGAAACTGTGGTTAATAGAAAGAATCTTGACACATGGGCACCTGTTTTTGGGCCAAAGCCCGCGCAGGTGCCCCTTATGCAGAGAAAGGTTGCTCGATGTGTCCCACATAATAGAGGCGTGTCATGCCTTGGCTCCATACAGAGAGCGTGTAGGCATGCCGCTGGATTTAAGAAGAGTTCTCGAACACGGTAGCGAGTTTCAGAGTCCCCTGTTCTGCTGTTTAGGGGAAATTGGTTTTTTTTTATTGTATATGATATGTCTTATGTGTTGTGTGTCTATATGTTTTGTCTGAGTGCATGTATTTATTAGCGTGAATGGTGAGGGGTGAGGGTGAAATATAACGTCATCATCGCCCNAGAATTACACTGCTCCAAAAAAGCGGTGTATTTTGTTTTTTATGTACTTGCCTTTTCAGTAATATTACCACTTATACTTTTATAATTCAAGTTTCATTCATTCATTAAAAAACTAAATATTTGTTTAGTGGAAAATAAAACTTCCCCTTGAAAACAAACAAAAATATAATAAAAAAGAAAAGATGCTTTGTTATATGAACATAAAACACTGTAAAACAAATTTAAAAATCTTGCATTGGGTGTTACCTCCTCTTACTCTTATTACGACTCTAATCTCCTCAGCATGTTCACAATTAAGCCTTTAACCATGTTTTGAGGAATTTCATCCCAAATCTCAACTAACGTCTCACCTCAGCTAAGGATGTAGGAAGTTTATTTTTTCGTTTTACCCAATTTTTGAGCTCATCCTAAAAACTCAATAGAGTTCAAATCAGGGCTACTGACAGGCCATTTTGAGTGCGAATATCAACATCATGGGTCTTGCATTACCTTGCTTAAACAATAATTGCCCATCGATAAATAACAAGATCAAATGGCACAACATATTCCTCAAGAATGTCTGTCAAGAACCTTTGCTAAAGAAATTACACTCCACACCATTACTAAACTGAACCACCTCCGAACAACCATCTTCCAGCAATATTGCATTGGCTGTAGCACCTTGAAAACATCCGTCTGGTGAATGGAGAGAAAACTGGAACTCATCTGTGTTACGTCTCATACGGACTGACTAAGGTAAACTCCGATATAAATTGACAAACAAAAGACTTAGACTTTATTGGCTTTAGGCAGATGCCAAGCGCTTACATAAGACAAGACACACATTGCTCAAAACATCCAGCGTGAGACGGACTGGGAGAATTTGTAGAGATCAATCATCATTGGATTACAGATTGCTTCTGATGACCATCTGCATTGTGGGACATCACTAAAAGAACATACTCTTCTCTGTAAATCTGTTACATGTACTTTTCTATGATGTCCTCCTTTCATTCATGCTAACAAATACATTCATACACAATAAAAATCTTGCATTCACTTTCCTAAGTTAACCTAATTGGTTCAACAGGTCTGTGGATCCTCTATGTTCCACAAAGACCATGTCCAGTGACTGCTTCCTTCCCTTTCTCTTTATCTTGGCCCTCTTTCGTGGGCTTTCACAGAGGTGGCTTTCTTTGGTAGTGTCCAACTCAGTCCTCGCTGGAACTTTGCCACACTTTATTGTGTCCAGGATGGTTCACGAGGCAGCATACAGATGAAATTCAGGGGCGAGTTACTAAATGTTTATTATTTATTTATTTATCCAAGCAAATATACAATTTAAGTGTTTTGGGGGGAGAATATTCAATAATAACTGTTTCGACCGATGCCATTGATAAAATAAATAATAATAAAAATATAAAGTACAATTTAAAAAAAGAGAAGAATGGATAAGATCAAAAAAGAGAAAAAATATAAATAATTAATTTAAAGAAAAAGTTCTGCAATGAAAAGGTCAATCCAATACCGTGGGTGGGTGTTTTCTGTGATGTAATTTATTTAACCACTTCCTTCCTGAACGAATCGCTGCATGAAGCATAGGGAGCTCAGGCCCGATTTTTTCTGACTACATGGCAGTTATTTTGATGGATGTCCAATGGATTTGAGTGATGGTCAAATACAGTAAAATGTGTGTGGAGATTCCATGAGATATTAATGGTTTATGCTATTTATAATAAGTATTAAATAAGAACCAAATCATAAGGGGATGGGCAATGAAAGAGAGCAGGATCAAAACTGATTTAATGTATATTTTTAAAAGGTCAGGTGGGATCAGGGTAGGGAATACTTTATCATAATCAAAATAACTTAATCCTCTAGAGGGTTGGCATAAACATTCCGCCCACCAAATTTGATTAAACTTTAAATAAATAATAAAATGAAATCAAACTTTTATAATTTAAAGATGAGAATTTCAGCAAAATTTTAGAAAAAAAAATTTCTTTAAGTTGTCATGGGCTAGATACCCATGAGGCCACGACACAGTGGGTGAAAGGCCAAAAATCCTCATGAGGATGAAGGCAGGCGCGCTCAGGCCGTCGGAGTAGAAAGATATATCCAAAATCAGTGTTTAGTGACTGGGAATTTTTTTTTCCAATGTTGTTTTGTAGTGCTGAGACGATGAATTGAGGACGGACCTGTGTGTGTGTGTGTGTGTGTGTGTGTGTGTGTGCCATTGGTAGTGGTCCGTGACCAAGGGAACCATTGGCTGACGTCCAGGGCCGTGAGTCGGTTGACTCTACAGAGTTTGAAGTGACTCTGGTGCAGCAGGTAGCCGAGTGCAGTAGTTGGCCAGTATCCAAGTTGGCTGTGTTGAGAAGCAGAGTTCCAGGATAATGCTGCGTATACCCTTGCTGTAGATGTCGGTAATCCATTAGTGATTAGCAAGA